ATTTGAACCACCAACCTTTTGGTCAGCAAGTTCAGCAGCTCAGCAGTTTAACCCGCTGTGCCACCAGGGGGCCATTAGTATAGTATTTTTGTCAATTTTGAGTAATTACTAATTAGTATAGTATTAGTAATCAATTACAAAAATCTTGGACATGTATGTTATTACCTTACAGATGTTCGGGCTTGGCCTCATGTAAGCTGCTCCAAGTCCCCACTGGGGAGATGGTGGCAGGGTATAAATAAAGTTTATTATTTATTATTATTAAATGATATATTTTTAAAAATATTAATGGAAGATTTTCATGAGCTATGTTATGTTCCCATACATTTCATTATTACAATTTATGTATGTGTCCTCATTTCTCATAAGGGGGTGGTTTAACCTCCAGTTTGCTAATAAAACTGAATTACCGTAAAAACTGGGCTATTAGACGACTTTCTAAGCCTTTAAAATCCTTTGAAAAGTTGGGGGTCGTCTAATCTCCCGGATATAGCAGATGACAAATGGTAGCGACACTAGAGCCGAAGCAGCCAAGTCAGTGGATGAGAACCTCCGCCCGCCCCTGGTGCTGCCAGCGAGGCTTCCAGCCTCTGTTTTCAGCCTCCAGGAGCAGCGTGGTGCAGGCCTGACGCTCCGTCGGGCCCCAGCTGGGCTCAGTGAGGAAAGAGGCAGCGTGAGGAAGGAGGCTGGAGGGCAGCCTTTCTCACTCTGCGTCCCTCCTTCCTGGGCCAAATTGGGGCCAAGGGAGCGTCTGGCCTGCGCCGCGCTGCTCCTGCTGCTGCCTCCAGCACCGAGGAAGGCATCTGCGGGGTGAGGGAAGTGGAGGGAAAGGTGCACACCTGCGGAGACCTGCACTGGGGTAAGCAGCAAGCAGACTTTAGCCTGTGCAGGCCTCCGCAAGTGTGCACCTTTCCCTCCTCTTCCCTCGCCCCGCAGATGCCTTCCTCAGTGCTGCAGGCAGGAAAGGTGTGTGAGGGAGGGAAAGGTGCGCCCCTTTCCCTCCTCTCTCACCCCATGAGCACCTTTACCAAGGCGGCCAAGGAAGGCATGTGTGGGGTGAGAGAGAAGGGGGAGAGGTGCGTGGCCTTTCCCTCTCTTGCCCCATGTGCAGCTTTTCTGCCTCCTCGCACCGTGGTTGCGCAGGGGCTGAGAGAGGTAGATAGCAAAGCCGCCGGGGCTCCCTTCTCCTCTGTCGTCGCTGCTGCTGCCGAGGAAGGAGGCGGGGGGGGGGGGAGCAGGGAAAGACAGAAGGGGGTTGGAGCAGATGGCCCTTGGGATCTCTTCCAACCCCTTTATTAATGTTGCTGTTATTTTTGAAGCTGGGTGGCCGTCTGTTGGGTGCTTTGTGCATTTGCTGCATGAAGGCAGAAGGGGGCTGGACTAGATGGCCCTTGGGATCTCTTCCAACTCTTATTAGTATGATTATTATTATTATTATTATTATTATTGAGAAAGGTTGGCTATCTGTCAGGGGTGTTTTGATTGTGCTCCTGCTGCATTAAGGCAGAAGGGGGTTGGACTAGATGGCCCTTGGGGTCTCCTCAGACTTATTAGTATGAATCTTATTATTATTATTATTATTATTATTATTATTATTGAGAAAGGTTGGCTGTCTGCCAGGGTTGCTTTGATTGTGCTCCTGCTGCATTAAGGCAGAAGGGGGTTGGACTAGATGGCCCTTGGGGTCTCCTCAGACTTATTAGTATGAATCTTATTATTATTATTATTATTATTATTATTATTATTATTATTATTGAGAAAGGTTGGCTGTCTGCCAGGGTTGCTTTGATTGTGCTCCTGCTGCATTAAGGCAGAAGGGGGTTGGACTAGATGGCCCTTGGGGTCTCCTCAGACTTATTAGTATGAATCTTATTATTATTATTATTATTATTATTATTATTATTATTGAGAAAGGTTGGCTGTCTGCCAGGGTTGCTTTGATTGTGCTCCTGCTGCATTAAGGCAGAAGGGGGTTGGACTAGATGGCCCTTGGGGTCTCTTCCAACTCTTTATTAGTATATTATTATTATTATTATTATTATTATTGAGAAAGGTTGGCTGTCTGCCAGGGTTGCTTTGATTGTGCTCCTGCTGCATTAAGGCAGAAGGGGGTTGGACTAGATGGCCCTTGGGGTCTCTTCCAACTCTTTATTAGTATTAATGTTGTTGTTGTTGTTGAGGCTGGGTGGCCATCTGTCAGGGGCGCTTTGTATTGTATTAAGGCAGAATGAAGGGTGTTGGACTAGATGGCCTTTAGAGCTCCCTTCCAACTCTATTATTATTATTATCATTATCATTATCATTATTATTCATGTTAATATTAAGGCTGGATGGCCATCTGTCAGGGGTGCTTTGATTGTACTTTCCCTCCATGAAGGCAGAATGAAAGGGGTTGGACTAGATGGTCTTTAGAGCTCCCTTCCAACATTATTATTATTATTATTATTATTATTATTATTATTATTATGTTAATATTAAGGCTGGATGGCCATCTGTCAGGGGTGCTTTGATTTTGCTTTCCCTACATGATGGCAAAATGAAGGGGGTTGGACTAAATGGCCTTTAGAGGTCCCTCCCAACTTTAGGATTCTGTGAAAGAGATCTTTGTCGACCACAATCCAATAGTGTGATGCTGCAGCTGAAAAGGCCAATGCCATTTTAGGCTGTGTCAATAGGAGAAGCCTGAGAGAAGGTAAAAGGGAACTGATAATGGCACTTTACCTCGGCTAGTTTTTTAATTGCTTTAAATGAGTATTATTTATTGCAACTGTTTATTTTAACTTATTGCCAGCATGATGTAAAGGACCCAGAGTGTAAATGAAATTCAAGGAGAAAGAGCAACTGTCATGTACAATGTAAGGTACAATGTCCCTCTCATAGGAACCTGCTTCTCATAAGCATTTGAATTGAAATTACCATATTGAATTCAAATCTGATTTTTAAATTTTTTTATTTAGTGTGCATTGGAAAGGGGGTGGTCTTATACGGCAAGTATATGCTAAACTCTATATTTTAACTGGAAAAGTTGGGGGTCGTCTTATACACCCAGTCGTCTTATATGCCAGAATATACGGTACTGAATTGCAAAATGATGGCTGTCTAAAAAGTGTATCACCAACTTGAAATATTTGGAAAGCTGTGAGCTAAAATGGAGAAAACTAGGAACGATGTCTAGAAGCACTTCTGGTTTGGAAAGTAAAAGCACGCTTTTTTTAAAAAAAATGGAAGTATATAATCTTTTCTGTACTCCACCTGTTTTGCATCTGACTCCCATTGGTAGGTTTTATGATTCGAGTTTTTAAAAAGGCAGATGTCAAGTCTATCCCACTTTTAATCTGTATTCTTTGTAAAAAATTTGTTGCCTTGCTCTGTGTCTTTTTGGGGGCCTGGCTTATCCTTGGGAATGCAATATTGTACTCAGACTGCAGATATGCCCACTTGATTTATAGCCAGTGAATTAGCCACGAGTTGTCTGAAATGATTTTGTTTATCGATTGCAGAAGAACTTCAATTTAAACTGTGGCATTTTTGTTGAAATCTTTAATACATTGCACTATTGACGATTTAGGAGCTCTGGCACTGCTAAGATGGAAATGTAATTTGATTTCAAAGAGGTGCCTGCTAGCAAAAAGATGTAGCCCTGCATTTTGTTTTCGCAGTTGTCATTCAAAGATCTTTAAATCATATTACAGCTCAGTTACGTGAGGCCTGAACAGGCAGGCAGAAAGAAAAGAAGTAAGTTGTCCATCTACAGTCAATAGTTGATCTAATTTTTAGAATTAATGAGCAAAGTTTATGGCATTCACATAATACATTTTCAATCAGTTATAGTAAGGATGCAACAGAAGATTGTGTGCTCCGTTGCATAGCCTTTCCTTACAGACATGCCTTCTCTCTTCTACTTCACTGTTGTTTGCTTATGCCCAGTTTTCATTTGTCCTCTAGGTTGATTTACAGACAAACTGCAGTAACTGGGCAAATGACCTAGATGGCAAATCGTTCTATTGCAGGATCAGCAACTTGTCACCTTACTGGATGATTCTGTGGTTAATTCCAGCAGAATTGCCTAGAAGACCGAGAACATTCCTAGAAATGGCATATTTTGTTGCATGTGGGGAGATGAAACCCACATGTCTACTGAGATAGAAGAACAACATAGAGATAATTGCAAAACAAACCAACAAATAATTGAAGGCAGGAACAACAGTGCTTTCCACCTTCCATTATGGGGGCACAAAGGATGCATCTAGTCGAATCAATGCAGTTTGGTATCCTCCATGACTGGCATCATGACTATGGCTATGGAATCATGGGATATGTAGTTTGGTGAGACACCAACACTCTTTGGCAGAGAAAGCTAAAGACCTTGTCATACTACAGTCACCATGACTCCATTGCATTTAGCCACGGCAGTAAACGTGGTGTCAAACTGCATTAATTCTGCAGTGTAGATGCACCTGGAGTTCCCGGTGGTGCAGTGGGTTGCTGAACTTGCTGACCGAAAGGTTGCTGGTTCAAATCTGGGGAGTGGGGTGACCTCCCACTGTTAGCCCCAGCTTCTGCCAAGCTAGCAGTTCGAAAACATGCAAATGTGAGTATTTCAATAGGTACTGCTCCAGCGGGAAGGTAACAGTGCTCCATGCAGTCATGCCGGCCACATGACCTTGGAGGTGTCTACTGACACCTCCAAGGTTAGCTAAGGAGATGAGCATCAACCCCCAAAGTCTGTACGACTGGACTTAATGTCAAGGAAGAACCTTTACCCTTACTAGATGCAACTACAAATTTCTGTGTGAGATATGGGATGACAAAAGTGGTGTTGCTTGACTGGACACCTCTGATTTCAAACCACCTACTCAGAGTCCCTCCACCAGTCATTTCTTCGCTTTTTTATTCTGGAGCTTAACATATGAAATGTAACCCAGAATAGAGCATGAGCACAGACCCTTAGGGGTTGTTTCTGCTGTTTGTTGACCCAGAATATTTTCTCTTCTTTTCAGAGGGACGCATGCTGATCCAGGACATCCCTTCCCTGGCCAGCAGAGGGCATCTGGAGAGCACATCTGACTTAGTTGTGGACTCCACCTACTACAGCAGTTTTTACCAGCCTTCCTTGTATCCATACTACAACAACCTGTACAACTACTCTCAGTACCAGATGGCAGTGGCCAGTGAAACTACTTCTGGTGATATGGGGAGCCCTCTGGTGGGATCCCCAGTTAAAAACAGCCTCCGAAGCCTCCCATCAACATATATGCCAAGCCAGTCAGGAAACCAATGGCAGGTACTGTGTCCAAGTTGGTAAAAATCAAGAAAGCGTGTGCTGGGCCATCCACACAGCCATATAATCAATAATATCAAGGCAGAAATCCCACAATATCTGCTTTGAACTGGGTTATCTGGGTCCACACTACCATATATCCTAGTTCAAAACAGAAAATGTGAGATTTTATTCAGCTGTGTGAAAGGGCCCTAGACCCATGACTTTTCTAGCACCAGGATTGCTTTTAGTTTTTTCAGCGTTATTGGAATGGCTCCAGAACAATGCCATAGAAGTACAAGATACAGTGTGCTATGTATATGATGTGGAGGGCATTTTGCACCCAGTAAACCAGTGCTTCTCTCCATTAGTCCTCCAAGTATTGTTCGGCTTCAACTTGCAAGGTTTTTTCCAGCCAGTGGTCAGGGATTCTGGGAGCTGAAAAGGACAGTGGCACCATATCACCTGTTTTAAGATGATGGTTTATGTTCCTGGGATTCACACTACATTCCCTGGTTTATAGGAGAAACCATTATTTCTCCCCGTTACTTACTTACTTAGGAAATCCCTCGTTGGCCGAGTAGGATAGTCTTCCAGGATCAGTATTCTGGTGGGTCCGTAGGTGACTGTGGAGCCGTATTCTTGATCTGCATCTTCTCCCGCAGTGAGGGATTGGCTTGGCGTGCCTTCCTCTTGGCATGTTTCTCTCTTTCACCCTCCATTCATACCTCTTCAAATACTGCAGCACTGCTGGTCACAGCTGGTTGGTTTGTTTTTATTTTCTTTGGAAGACACCTGTGCGTGAGTTTTTTTTAATGTGTGGAGATCAGTGCACAACTGATGAACACACAGTCTTCACAGAGTGAGGTTCCACTGGTGATGTAGTTTAACACAATGACCATGGCTTCTCAATCTGTTGCAGCCTTCTTCAGCCTTCACAGCCATTGTAACATGTACCATGTTATCCTCTGCCTGCTCCGCCGTTGAGGTCTTTGGGTCTTCGGACTGTGCTTGGTCTGGAACCTTCCCCGCGGCCATTCCTGGGAGTGCATGACTCCAGTTGTTGTGCCCACAGGTTCATTGGAACACGCATTGGAACGAGCAAGCCCCCTCACCACGACAAGGTGACAGTCCATCGAGGGGGTATCTCTCCCTGTATTTAGGAGCTGATGTGGGTTGTCCTCTAAATAAACTGAAAGACCAAAGTTTCCTTTCCTTGGTTTATAGAATTTTAAGACTGCACAGTGTTCCAGTTCTGTACCTCACAAGAAGCATGAGTTATTGGGTTGCTGTGAGTTTTCTGGGCTGTATGGCCATGTTCCAGAAGCATTCTCTCCTGACGCTTCTGGAACATGGCCATATAGCCCGGAAAACTCACAGCAACCCAGTGATTCCAGCCACGAAAGCTTTGACAACACATCATCAGCCCTTGGGTGACCAGCCATTTGTGCCTCACATTGGTGATGTCCACCAGTTGATATGTGCTTCTTCACGTGGCAGACCTGTACTTGGAAACAATCATCAAATGTAAAGAACTGTAGTCCTTAATCTGTATAGCATGGTTTGTTTGTTCTCGAGTATTTTTGGTAGTCTCTGTGGCCCCAGAGAATGACAGAGGCAAAAAATTGGATTCATTGACGTTGCTCACTCTGGATGTATAGAATGGCAGCTGCAGCCTTTCCAGTATGGATTAACATTTCAATTATTAAATTCAGGAGCCTCCCTGAATAAAGAAATGCTTTAAAAGTCTATCCAAATAGGAATTAGAGACCTTTTTTTTTTACAGAAAGCTAAGGTACATTTCCTAGGTCAGTCCTTTTCTTAGAATTGTACTATCCAGCATGGTTGTAGTGATTCAAGCATTGGAATACAACTCTGGAGACCAGGATTTGAATCCCTGGTTGGCCACAAAAACCCATGGGATTATCTTGGACAAAATGCACTTTCTCAGCCTCAGAGAAATACAAACCCCCATTCAAAAATGTGATAAATTCACCTTGGGGGCACAATAAGTTTGAAATAACTTGGAAGACATACAACAACAAAACTGCAACTGTATTACCCTTCTAGGCAAGCATAATGGCCAAAAAGAAGAAAATTCATTACACTCTGAATCACTGTCTACATACAAATGGAGATTCTGAAGTTTTATATTTTAAATGAAACATGGTAAAAATCACTATGTTCCCTTTTGAGTAGCGCTGGAGTTCCCCCCCCCCCCTTCCTTTCTTGTGGCAGTGGTTAGGAGGAAAACATAAAATAAATGCCGTGGGCAGCTAAAATGAAAAATTAATTGGCTGTACCGAGAGATATATTACATTGTTAATTACAGGAGGTGTTGAGCTTGTTGACCTAAACAACTTGTGTGTGAAGGATTTAAAAAAAGCTCTCTCAACATCATTTAAGCATCTCAGAATATGATCTTAGAAAGTATGTGCCTCTTTGGCTAAGAAAATGCTGTCTTCATTACTTTGACCCTTGTTATGGTTCATAGTTGATAGTCACCAAAATGTTTCATATGGCCATGATCAACACAAGGACTCTAGTGTATGGAAATGCCTGAGGCTACATGATTAAAACAGTGTACTTCTATTCCAGTTTAACTTTCTTGGCAGCATCCTATGGATACCAGGAAAAGGAGTTCGGGAAGCATTAGAGATCAGTAGCAGATTAATTTTATTTATTTATTTATTTATTTATCAAGCCCAAAGAGGACTCAGGGAGACCTTATAAAGGTAACAGTTCAATGCCCCATATACGCATACATTGATAAACAAACAAATGTATTAAATCCCAAACCAAGCAAAACATAACTTTAAAACATCAGTTAAAATCCCATAATCCATATTCCAGGGCAGTTCCAAGTCGTCATTATGTTAATTTATAGTCACTTAGTGCACTTCTCCCATTACTGACCAAAAACCTGGTCCCAGAGCCATGTTTTTAGTTATTTTCCTGAAGGGCAGGAGGGAAGGGGGCGATCTAATTTTACTGGGGAGGGAGTTCCATCGACGAGGAGCCACCACTGAGAAGGCCCCGTCTCTCATTCCCACCAGTCATGTTTGCGAGGGGGGTGGGACAGAGAGCAGGGCCTCCCCCGACAATCTTAGCCTCTGAGGTGGATTATAGAGGGAGATACGTACGGACTGGTAAGCTGGGCCGGAGCCAATAATTCTAGAGACCTCACAAAAGTGTAAAACCCAAGATTCCATAGGATGGGACTATGGCAATTAAAGTAGTATAGAAGTGCTATAACAGTTATGCTTATGTTGTTTACTCTTTATGTTTTGGTGTTTGTTACTTGGAAATCGCCCTGAGTCCCTTTGGGGAGATAGACCGGTATATAAATAAGTTTTATAATTATATTATTATTACTATGGGTTCAATGCCACCTAGGTGGACGCCATTGCTAGCTTCTAATGTTCCTAGTGGCTGCTGAACTCTTCATAAAATTTATGAAGTAATCTAAGATCAGGGTATATATGAAGATAAGAATATTTTCAGAAGGTGATTGTATCAGTGGTTGTCCAGAGTTTGAAAGCCCCTGTTCTGCTATTGATTTAATTCCTCTACAATTAATGCCAGTGTCTAGAAAAATCACTACACTCTTCTTTTAAAGAGTTCTGGTAATTTCAATATGCATCCCTATAAAATAAGTAAGTGAACCAGATGTCCTGAGAAGACTCATACAAAACATTTGTATATATTTATATGAAACTAGCCGTCCCCTGCCACGCATTACTGTGGCCCAATCTGGTGATCTGTTGGCCATGTTCCGACAGGCTTTTAATGTTTGATACTGTTGTTTTTAAATTGTTTTAAATTGCTTTTAAACTTTGTTAGATTTTAGCTATTCTTGTAAGCCGCTCCGAGCCCCAGGGGAGTGGCGGCATATAAGTTTAAATAATAAATAAATAAAATAAATGGGAGTCCTGTGTGCCACATTTGGTTCAATTCCATCATTGGTGGAGTTCAGAATGCTCTTTGATTGTAGGTGTACTATAAATCCCAGCAACTACAACTCCCAAATGACAAAATCATTTTTTTAGTGATGGTCATTCATTGGTCTGATAGGTGTCTTGTGTCCAAATTTGGTGTCAATTAATCCAGTGGTTTTGGGGTTATATTAAGCCCTCAAACAAACATTATATTTTTATTTATTTAGATTGGAATGTTGAATTGAGTACAAGACAAGTTTTTAAATATATATATATATATATGAACAGTCTAGAAGAAAGGTCAGCTGGAATTTTAATGGTTGGATCCAATATCCAAGATATTGGTAGATTTTTTTCAGCAGCCTGAAATAGTTCTAGTTTGTCATTCCTGGAACATATCATACACTGTATTTATAAGATACCCTTCACAGTACAGATTTATGCTAAAAGTAACCTAATGTTTCTGACAGCTCAAGTGTGACATGAATATAATCCATATTTCTTGGAGAAGCTAATCTAAGCTGTTTATTTTCCAATACTGCTGATAGGGCTATATCTCTTGATGTCACAGCGGTTGAGATTCTGATGGTAACATATTGTTTGTGGGTCACTGCTTTTGTCTAAAACAATAGGTTGGAACAGAATAGCAAAGGTTAATTAAGTTTGTCTATCAAGGTGGGACAGATATAGATGGTGCTTTGGTTTTTCACTGTAGAATCCAAGAGAGATACACCATAGTGGTGTCGCCCTATTATTTTTTCATGGTGTACAAGTCATGTGGGGGGTTTTAGAACTGATGTCGGCTAACTCCAAAGGGTTCCAGTGTGCCAGTGCTTAATAAACACAATCTCTCATGAAGTATTTTAAGTCTTTTGAAGTACATAAACAACATATGTAGTTGTAAAATCCAAAATTCTTGTTGAGAAAGCTAGGCAAACAAGATCAGTGGCTCAACGAAATACCTTTCCCACTCAGTATTACCAGTCATGGGTTACTAATAAACAATCTGTCTAGTCCTCTTGCAAATGTAGGAAAGTCTTAACTAAAAGACCACAACCTTTACATGTGCATCAGGTGTATTCTCTAGATCAGGGGTACTCAAACTTTTTAAACAGAGGGCCAGGTCACAGTCCCTCAAATTGTTGGAGGGTCGGATTATAATTTGAAAAAAACATGAATGAATTCCTATTCACATTGCACATATCTTATTTGTAGTGCAAAAAAACCCCTTTAAAATAATGCAATAATTAAAATGAATAACAATTTTAACAAATATAGACTTAATAGTATTTCAATGGGAAATGTGGGCCTGCTTTTGGCTGATGAGATAGGATTGTTCTTGCTGTTGTTGTGTGCTTTCAAGTCATTTCAGACTTAGGTTGACCCTGAGCAAGGGCCGAGTAAATGACCTTGGAGGGCCATATCCGACCCTCGGACCTTAGTTTGAGGACCCCTGCTCTAGATTATTGTTGTCATCAGCCTATCAAAGAAGGGTCTTACTTATATCTGAAAGGCTTTCATCACTCTACTGTGTCTGATAATCTTGTAAATACAATTTACTAAATTACCACATAATGGTATTAGAGAGGACTGAATCATGTTAAGTTAGTCCCAAGTAGTGTAAATTTGTAGAAGCAGCTGTTGAATGGTGGGTCAACATCTAGGTAATTCAGCAGATTAACTCTATTTGCAAGTAACAGTAGAATTCAACCTATGTTTTTGTTTCTGAACATAAACAGGAGACAGAAACTTTATAGTATATCCTACCATTGCAGAATGAAGACGAGCATCTGTTGTTACCTTTATCCCATCGACATGTGTTTTTGTTGGGTTTCATTCCTGAACTGCACAAGTCTCTTGTGTCATCAAGTTTCCAGACCTCATTGAGTAGCTAGACTGTGAGGTAACTTCTTTTTTATTGTCCTGGGCTTGACCATGTGTTGGTTTGCCATTTTTCAGTTTCTTCTGCCATTTCTTCCTTCTAGTGAGGATGCACATTTTGCCTCTCTCCTTAGGCAAAATGTAGCTGCATGGATTTTTAAACATTTTGCCCTTTTACCTTTCTTAGAAGATGAGTCTTAGTAAGTAAGTGAGTAAGTGAGGTCTATCAAGATTGTATTTCTTTTACTTCAATAAATATTTTGAACCTAAAGATCTGACTCTGTAATCCTGTGCCATCCTATGGAGAGAAAGCTTATCTTAGCTTGCCACACGTAAGTGTCTACTGGTTATGAAGTTTACTTCTAGTGCTCTGCTGTATTTATGGTGGAATCACCCCAACCGAGGGTTATTTTGAGCCTAACAGCTCAGATTCCCCAACAGTTTTGAACATGGATATATTATTTGAGAGACTGCTAAAGCAGGGGACAGGACTGATGTCGCCTTGGTCTAGGTACATATGCACAAGCATTTTTATGCCATCCATTATGTCCATGCTCATCTTTCCATGTACTTCAGCAATGAAGAGGAATGCACAATCCCATCTTTCCACATGTTTCATCTAGCAGCAAAAAAGAGGCCCAGAATATGTTTGTTTTTCCATCTGAAGACTAGAAGATTTACCTTAGACGATGGTTTTCATTATGTAGCTGTGAGGTTTAATCTGCACCTGCACACCCCACAAATAATTAAGGGTGTATTTTTTGACACTACTGTGACACATTGAAGGAAGAATTTTCGGTGTCTTTTGAGCTAAAAGAATTAATACACAACTCAGCATTCTCGTTGGATAAATTATCTTCCAAGTCCCCTTTATAATACAGTGCTAAGGTCAAGCGTTTTTATGTTTGGCTGGTTCTTTACTGTTACTATAAAATAGGGTAGCTAAGCTCTATAAAAAGGAAACCTTGTGGCTCAGATTTACTGTGTTATATATTCTAAACAGTTTAATAAAACAAAGCCTAAAGCTTCCTAGGTTTTCTTCAGTGGTTAATCCAACACATATTGTTTGCCGAGCCTTGCCTCTGTCTGTCGGTCGTGCCGTGGTTCACACATTTGGTGCGGTAATAAGATTATAAAACATGTCTCTTGCTAGCCAGCAACCACATACTAATAATAATAGTTGTAATAATTCATTGGATCCTGGGATTTTAGGTGAGTTGTGGGTTTTTTTAAAGAATAGAGAAGGAGAGGGACACACACGCACACAAGAGAGCTTGAAAAGAAACAGGTCACTGCCCATATCCTCTAGAGAAGGAAAACAAACCCAACATCCTTTCAGCACCAGTGGGTAGTAGTGCCGTTTTATAGCTGCTAAAATTTTATTGCCCTTGACCAGTGATTATTTGGGGAGGATGCACTGAAAAACTCCAGCGGCAGGTTCACAGTAAGGGTAGCTGGCTTTATAAGTATGGAGTACGCAGAAATATGGTACCTCCCATTAGGAAAAAGTTTGTGTGGAGGAAGAACTCTTGGGTTTTTAGAATTTCTGAGATTGGTTTCGTAGTACAGTAGAGACTCCCTTATCCAATCTTCGCTCATGCAACGTTCTGTATTATCCAATACAGTCCATATCCCCACCCAGATCCACAGATGTTTCAATACATTGCATTGTTTTGGTGCTAAATTCGTAAATACAGTAATTACTACATAACGTGCTGTGTATTGAACTGCTTTTTCTGTCAATGTTTTGGTGCTTAATTTGTAAAATCATAACGTAATTTGACGTTTAAGAGACTTTTCCTTAATTTCCCCTTATTATCCAACATTTTCGTTTATCCAACATTCTGCCGGCCTGTTTATGTTGGATAAGCGAGACTCTACTGTATCCCAAAAACTCTTGTGGATTTACAGAATTAAAAGATCTTTTAAATGTGATTGTGTTTTTTTTTCTTTTGGTGTCCAGCACGTACCAAGTGTACTCAAGGACTATATGCATGCTTGAGTAATTCCTTAATTGTATGACAATTTGGAGAATGCTGATAGAGAAGACCATACAATTGCTATATTTTGCCTTACTGTGTTTACAATTTGGGGGGGGGGGAGTGTGTGTGGGGGGGAAATAAGACACAAACTAATGAAACAACTCAATTATGAATACAAATGATTAATAGAAATCAGTTTCCATATAGTAAAAGCTGAAATCATATAGATGTAAGAATTCCAGCATAATTACAGGAACAGAGTCCAAATATTAAAATCCTGCTTCATTTCCTGGAATGAGATGAAATGCAATTTATTGGATTGACCCCTTTTCTGAATTTTGTGATGCAGTGTTTTGTTCATAAAATAAATATTAATATAAATATTTTAGCAGAACATGATGGATATTTTAGGGTTGGATTGTATACAGAGATGCACAAAGATTTCTGAAGTACCCAAATCTGCAGTACATACAGAACCTTTAGTTATTGAGGATGGTGAGCTTTGAACAACAGTCAAGGCCTTTGGCTTTCCAAAAACATGAGTGTCTCTTTGTAACTTGAAAGGCCTTTCTGTCCATTACAACACAGACTCTGCTGCTATCTGTTTTGGTACTGCCTATTAGGTAAGTATGGTGTAGTCATCACAGTGTTGGACTATAACTCTAGAGACCAATGTTTGAGTCCCTCACTCGGCCATGGGAACCCATGGGATGCCTTGAGTGAGTCACGCACTCTTCGTTCTAGAAACCCCCATGATAGGATCACTGTAATTTAGAAAGGGACTTGAGGCACACATTAGCAAGTTATGGGTTATATTTTATTTCTATCCTGCCTTTCTCCCAATGTAGAGATTTAAGGCAGCTTAACAAAGTTCCATTACAAATGTTTATCTAATTTTTGTTTCTTCATTTTTGTGTAACCTGATTTCTCCTTTCTCTTTGAACAGGTGAAAAGCCCTGAGAACCGCCATGGCGTGAGTTCCCAGTACAGGATGCATTCTTACTATCCCTCTACCTCCTACTTGGGACAGAGCGTTGGGGGCCCTGCCTGTGTCCCACAGATTTTCACTTTTGAGGAGAGTTCCTCTTACTCAGAAACAAAGGCAAATGGTAAGCATTTTTTTTTTTAAGTCAGGGAAGGAGACTTCCATTGAAAATCACCTAGCAGAGCTAGCTGGAAAAGATCAGTATAATAGTTAAAGATTGATTGAAAACTTATCTAAATGACTACAAGTTTGTTCGCTTTTCTCTTCAATGAGATTCTTACTGCAGTTAGAGCACTCATGGGCTAGGGCTTCCCAGTTCTCAGTGTCTATGCCACAGTTTTTAAGGTTGGCTTTAAGCCCATCTTTAAATCCCTTTTCCTTTCCACCAACATTACGTTTCCCGTTCTTGAGTTGGGAGTATAGTAACTGTTTTGAGAGACGGTGATCGAGCATTCGGACAACATGGCCAGTCCAGCGGAGTTGATGTCATAGGAGCATCACTTTGGCATGTACAACGTGGGAGATCAGAGTGGCCATATGGCCTAATAATAAAAACAGCTACTACTACTTTATTTTTACCGCCTGCCTCCATCTCCCAAAAGGGACTTGAGGCAGCTTACAAAGGGACAAGCCCAGAGAGTACAGAGTTAAAAACATAGCGCAATAAGATAAAATCAAAACAGAACATAATAAAAACATAGCACAATAAGACATAACATCATAAAGACAGTACTATGTAGAGCGATAAAAGTGTTGAGTTCAGAGGGCTCGGAGTTTGATCAAATTCCTAGATAGAGCTAAGGGAAAGTGCAACATTGAGTAAGGCAAAGAATGGAAAATCTGTTTCACTAATAGGAACTGCATTAGTGAAAATAATGGTACAAAACTGATTTGACAAACCCTGAGTGATCCATTAGTTTGATTTCAAAGATTGCTGCTGTCTATAATGTTTCTTTTTCATCTAAGTCTCCCTTTTGGTTGGGTACTTCTAAAACTAGAATGGGAGGGGAATAAATAAATGCATCTTGAAACGTGTTCATAACTGGAAGGTCTGGAGAATGGAACCCCTCCTTTTGCATTTTTTATCTGGAAAAAAATGCTGGATTTTCAATCATTATTGACTACTCTTCCAGGCAATATTCCACATACTGATATTGTTCCCTAAGTTAGCTCATCAATCAGCAATGGACAAACAGGCAGAAGTAATTTACTGGGCTCAAGCAGTGTTTTCCCAGCTCTGACTGAGTGTTTTTCTATAGCAAGGGAACCTGTCGGCAAGAGAAGCCCAGGTACAATTATGAAAGGTGTGAATAAAAGCACACAGCACCCTTTTTTGATGGTCCTGCTAATAGTGCCCCTCTTTTTCTAACACATGGATCATTTCAAACACGTGCTGTGCATTTTCAGTCCCGAAATAGACAAATGTTTCCATTCCATTCTGTGATCGCTCGGCCCCTTAAATCTACCACATCACAGTGTGCTGAAGCTTAGCTGGGTAGTGTACAAATCTAAACAAGATGGAAAGGTTCAGTTGGCAGCCCTCTGGTCCTGTCCCGTTCTCTATAGCCTCATTCATCCAGATGGATGCTGGAATAAACTTCAGCCACTTTTTGCCTGGAATAAACACAGACTTTGCTCCACACTTACAGTCGGAAAAGAGTGCCTTCTGCAATTCTGCCACTGTACTCCTGTCTAATTTTGAGTTCAGTACAGAACGGCACAGCCTCAGAATCGGATACTTCAAATCTGTATTGCTTAATGCCTCAAAGCTATGCCTTCTAAATAGCCAGTGGCCATGCTGATAGTGAGTTTTGGTAGTTGGAATCTAATCTACATTGAGGTTCCTATCAAAACCACAGAGATACCAAATAGGAAAATGGAAGTGGCCAGAAGTCAGTTTCCATTGTTTGAAAGGTATTTTATGCTTGGAAATTTCTTACACTATGTCCTTTCTAAAAACTTAACCCCAACTTCTGGAGGCTTCTTGGTAAGGCAATTCCACGTCCTCTTTTCAGCCAGGAAAAGGACATTTTGGCAGTATCAGATGAGAAGCTTCAAAAAGATCTTTGGGGACCACATCAGGTGTCAGATTATAATATAAATATAATATATAAACTTTTTTTATACCCTGCCACCATCTCCCCAAGGGGGACTCAAGGCGGCTTACATGAGGCCAAGGCCAGAAGTGCATTACAGTACAGTAACATAAAAAGCATATAAACAGACATCACAATAAAATAAATCCAGCATAAAATACAATAAACAGTGCAAAATAATACAGTAAAAAAAAATCAAACACAATCACAATGAGCAGGCCACATGTGCAAGATACAGTGCTAAAAACTCAGGATGAGATAGAAATAAACCATATATATATCTTCACCTGCCTTAATTTAAAATGCAAGAACAATAGCAGGCAAAAACTCAGGACCCTGTTTTGTTGCTTAAGCTGATGCAGATGTCTCATATCATATCTGTTCAACATTTAAAGAATGACTTTTGAAACTTGAATAAATCGAAAACATTTTCATTGTCCATTTAAGTAAGGTAGATGTTATAGATACCTCTGTATAGTTGTAGTTCAATGAGTAAAATGGCTAAATCTTGTCTTTACCAGATACAGAGGAAGAGACTCGGTTACACTGATGGAAATAACATAGCCTTGGGCTTTTCAAACTTTAAAGATAGCTTTTATAGTCCCTGGTGGCGCAGCAGGTTAAATCACTGAGCTGCTGAACTTGCTGACCGAAAGGTTAGCGGTTCAAATCCGGGGAGCAGGGTGAGCTCCTGCTGTTAGCCCCAGCTTCTGCCAACCTTGCAGTTCGAAAACATGCAAATGTGAGTAAATAAATAGGTACTGCTCCGGCAGGAAGGTAACAACATTCCATGCAGTCATGCTGGCTATATGGCCTAGGAGGCATCTATGGACAACACCGGTTCTTCAGTTTAGAAATGGAGATGAGCACCACCCCCCAGAGTCAGACTTGACTCGACTTAATGTCAAGGGGAAACCTTTACCTTTACTAACTTGCTTTTAAAGTTGGTTCTAGTTGCAAGCAGGCAACCAGTGCTGGTACAATATAGGTATGATGTGCCCTGTTTCACATATGAATCCATAGAGCTGGCCTTGAGGTGTCAACATGCAAATCTTTGTTATGAGAATCATATTGCTGTATATATGGACCTGTGTATGTGTTTTAAATTATGCTTTTTTGAGCGTTTCTTCATATAATTCTGTTTGTCGTATTTAAGTCCTATCCTCTTTGGCTCCTATTTGTGGAACAAAAGGTCAAATATAAATCAAATAATATCCCAAACATCGTACCTGTTTTTCAAAGGGGAAGGAGCAGCATTGAAAAGAAAACATGTTCTGAGTAATCTTGTTCACACCTTATGTTGTTGTTGTTGTTGTTCCTCTCTTGAAGTACAGGGTTTTTTCCCTAAATCTACCATTGTTTTTTTATGCCCTAAAATAAACAAGTTGGATTAAATATATTTGTTGCAGCAACATGTGACAGAAATATAGTCAAGCAAGCTGAGAAAGCAATAGTTGTTAAAACCCAAGTATTTCTTGCCATGGCTGTTGTCCTTCAAGCACTTGGATGTTACCATGCCAGTTATTGGGCAGAAAGATTTCTGATCAGACGGAAAGAGAAGAAAGGGAGGAATGCCTTTTAAACTACAGCTAATATCCAAGGCGTATGGTGTTTTCCTTGTAATTCATGAAGTCTCTTAGTCACCTCACAATTCTAAGTATAACTTTGCTTTTATGGAGGCCTTGCCAGTTCGTATATTAACTGTGTTAGGCTTACCATTTCATTAATGCTGTTGTGCTGAGTTAACTGCCTGTTTATGATGTGTGCAGGTGTGAATGTGTATGCTGATAGGGAGGAGAGATGTCTCTGATTTATATTTTTGTTTTTTGAATGTGGAGAAGTTTCTGATGCACACACACGCGCATACTGAAAGAGGCTTAAACTTTATCATTGTTTAATTTTATTTCCAATATTTCATTTCACTGACTATTTGGTCTAGAGAAGATGGAAGTTGTAATCCTACATCTGGAAATTCAGATGTTTCCTGCACCTGTTCTAGAGAAAGGGCAGACAAATTGGTAATGGATGAAATGTAAAGATTTAGAAAATCAATATGTGAATTCTAACCAAAACTCATCTCAGTTCAATGTTGAAATGTAGTATATCCCCAATATCCCTTGTGGATAGCTGAAACGGTGGGTAATAGTGGACCCTATATTTTGACTATATTTTAACTGAAAGCATATAATAAAATCACACTGGAGGACCTAAGAAGCACACAAACACAATGAGGGTAAGTGAAATCATGGATATTGGATTTTGTGGGCAAGGGAGTCATCCTGTAGTTTAACTAAAAAAAACCTTCCCCATGTAGCCCCCATATACCTTAGTCATGTAGCCCTTCCAGAAGATTAAAGCCATGTTGTGTCCCCAGGACAGAGATAGTATGGAGACAATAATAGAATCATAGAGTTGGAAGAGACCTTGTGGGCCATCCAGTCCAACCCCATTCAGCCAAGAAGCAGGAAAATCGCATTCAAAGCACCCCTGACAGATGACCATCCAGCTTCTGCTTAAAAGCCTCCAAAGAAAGACCTTATACCACACTCCAAGGCAGAGAGCTCCACCAGTGAACAGGTGTCACAATAAGGAAGTTCTCATTTTCAGGTGGAATCTCTTTTCTTTCCTGTAGTTAGAAGCCATTGTTCCGCTTCCTAGTCTCCAGGGCAGCAGAAAATATGCTTGCTCCCTCCTCCCTATGACTTCCCCTCACATATTTATACATGGCCATCATGTCTCCTCAGCCTTCTCTTCTGCAGGATAAACATGCCCAGCTCTTTAAGCTGCTCCTCATAAAGCTTGTTCTCCAAACACTTGATCATTTTAGTTGCCCTCCTCTGGACACCTTCCAGCTTGTTGACATGTCCCTTAAGTTGCGGTCCCAGAACTGGACACAGTGTCCCAGGTGTGGTCTGACCAAGGCAGAATAGAGGGGTAGCATGACTTCTGTCTATAGGAGCCCCTTCACACATTCATGCACATTCATGCACACCTCAACTTTTATTTTCCCCCAAGATGGCTGAAATGG